TACCAATGCTTATACGCTGATAAATTAACATTTATTCAACGTTTGTGTTGTGAAAACTTGTTGTTGTTCTTGTTGTTGTAACAAACAAATCCATTAAAATTACACAACAAATATGTATAATTTTTTTACATAATTTTAGAAATGTATTTACAGTATTAAACTTTAAATTATAGATTTGAAAATGTATTTCAATCTTTTTATGGGAAAACATTTTTATTATTTTATAATCTACATTATCTTATTTCAGGTAATTCGTTTAAATCATTAGGGTGGAGACTAAGATTATTGATTATCATTGATTCTTCTGTCTCTGTCTCTGCTCAGATATGAGCAGTGAGAGGAAAGCCCTGCTGGAGAAAGCTTACCCAGAAGTCCTTGCTTTCTGTCGCAATCTGGGGCTGGTGTTTGAGGTCAGTTTAATGAAAACTTAATAAGAACTCCAGTGACTGATAATAAGATAAATATTTGCTCATTGATCTGTGAGGTCACTTCCTGTCCAGGTGGTGGATCTGTGTTGGGGGATTCGAGGCGTCTCTTCTGGAGACCACGAGGCCTGTGAGATCTTCCTGCAGGAGATCAGGAACTGTAAGAGGATTTCCGCCGGTCCAGCTTTCATCGTGAGTCTCTCGTTAATTCAGATTCAGATTCTGCATCGTTCAGATAGTATCACATAGAGAGTTGATCTGTGGAGATATTCAGTGGATTTGTAGGTTTTAACTTATTTTGACTAAATTTAGAATTTAATTCAAAATGGAATTTCAGCTCATTCTTCTTCTCTTTATTCATCCACAGGCTCTGCTGGGGAACCGGTACGGCCACCGAGCTCTTCCTCGACTCATCCCGGAGAAGCAGTTCGAAGCTCTTTTGTCCAAACTTTCCAAAAACCCTGAAGGCGTCAAACAGCTGAGTCAGTGGTTCTTAAAAGACAACAATGCTGTCCCGCCCACCTACATCCTGCAGCCAATCGAGGCTCACTTCCCCCACTACAGCGACCTCCGACCTGAGAGTGGGCCGCAGCGTGACAGCAATGTCCTTTCCTGGCGCCTCACAGAGACCCAACTGTCGCAGCTCCTACGCTCCGCCGCCGCGGATGCTGAGGCAGCTGGTGACATCACAGCCGAGGAGAAACAGCGCTTCTACACATCAGGTCAGAGCTGTCTCACACAGTCGTCCTTTGTTGTCTCAGAGTTGATCTGAGTTCCTTCTTCTTCTTCTTGTCCACAGTCACAGAACGAGAGTTCGAGCACGGTTTGTGGACGGACGATAGCCAGCTGTCCTCTCTGCTCTTCGTTCGAGAGATTCCCCGCCAGAGGGGGAGGGACGGTCCGAAACGTTTCGCCAAGTTCATAGACCTGACCGCCGACGGCCTGCTGGACGCGGAAGCTCAGGGACTCCTCACCGGCCTCAAGTCCCGCCTCTACGCCACGTTCCAAAAAATCCTCAACCTGCATTGCGTGGAGCTTAGCAAAGGAAGCATTGACCCAAAACGCAAAGACCACGCTCAGTACCTGGACAGTGTCTGTGAGCAGTTTGTTTCGCAGATGACGGCGAGGATCGGGACAGCAGTTGAGGGAAGGCGTCGGAAGATTCGGGGAAGCACTGAGGAAGAGAGGGAGGAAATTCCAGACTGGGTGGTCGAGGAGGTCGGTCGGCACACTGCGATGAGCACCGAGCTGTGCGGTGGTCTCTACGGCAGGGAGGGGCTTCTGGGTAAGCTCTGTGTCGCCATGTGGGAGTCCACCAACGTCCACCACACTCCCCTGGTGGTGCACGGAGCTGGTGGGATGGGTAAGACGGCTTTGCTGTGCAAACTGGCACAGGAGATGCGTAGCGTCCTGGACGCCGGGGCGGTGGTGGCGATCAGGCTTCTGTCATCTCGTCATCCTCAGAGACCCGACATCGACCACGTCCTCCGCAGCATCTGCCTCCAGGTCTGTTTGGCTTGCGGTTTGGCTCCACCCTCGCCGCTGACGGCCAACACCCACCAGGAGCTGGTGCAGTTCTTCAGAAACATCCTCGCTGAGGTTTCGCAGCAGGGGAACACTCTGCTCATCATCCTGGACGCTTTGGATCAGCTCTCAGACCGACACCGTGCCCACAAACTCCGCTGGCTGCCAGCCGACATCCCGCCCAACATCCACCTGGTGGTTTCCATGGATACCAACAGCGAGGCGTTTGCTAACGTGCGGCTGAAGTTGGAGACTTTGGGGAGTTTCTTTGAGGTGCAGCGTCTGTCTCGTGAGGAAGGGAAGCAGGTCGTGGAGTCATACCTGCGAGCTTCCCAGCGGACTCTGACGGACGAGCAGAGCACGGCCGTGCTGCAGAGCTTTGAGACGACCGGCTGTCCGCTGCACCTCAAACTGATTCTGTCCGCAGCCAGACGCTGGACGTCCTTCACCCCGCTCACAGACGTACACCTGGGTGCCAGCACACAGGAAATGATGTCACAGCTCTTCCTGATGCTGGAGGAGAAACATGGGAAGGAGCTGGTGGGCGGGGCCTTAGGATACATAGCTCTGGCAAGGTGAGAGGATTGTCAAGCAGACTTACTCCTTAAAAGAGAGCTCAATGCTAATTCACCTTCTGACTCCACAGGGAAGGTCTGCTGGAGGCTGAACTGCGGGATCTCATGTCCCTGGATGATGATGTCATCAGTGAGGTGTACAGGTACTCCCTCCCTTCGACCCCCGCGTTGATCAGGCTGCCCCCCCTCCTCTGGGCAAGACTAAGACGGGACCTCGAGGATCAGCTGGAGGAGCGCTGGACAGACGGGGTCGCCGCAATCGCCCTCAACAGCCGGTAAAGAAAGAGATCAATTAATCACTCAGGTCAGAGGTCAAATGTTCGAGTTAATGTGTGTGTGTGTGTGTGTGAGTGTACAGGCATCTGTGGGAGGCGGTTTCAGCTCGGTATCTGACATCAGGACGAAGGGGGCGGAGCCTGAAGATCATAGCGGAGTACTTCCTGGGTCGGTGGTCTGGGAAACTGAAGCCGGCGTCTCTGCCCGGCCTCTCACTGCTCCTTTCTGACAGAAAGGTACCAGCGAGTCCATCCTTAATACGATATCATATCACATTATGATATCACGCTAACGGACTAAAGTTGAAGCTAACATGTCCCAGCTGTAACTGTAAACCGACTGTGGAAGTAATTTCCTTTTTGTTCACGTTATATTTTGTGATGTCACAGGTCCCGCCCCAACCACTGTGGTTTTCTCCAGGATTGGCTAACATCAGGAAGCTCCAGGAGCTGCCCTACCACCTCCTGCATGCTGGTCTGTGGGACGAGCTGCGACAGGAAGTCATCAGTAAGATGTGGGAGGAGGCTCAGGATTCTGTTAATGTTAATAATATTATGTTAACATAAGTATAACTTTATTGCGTTTTAGTGAAGTCCAATGATTTGACACTAACTGTTTGATTTTTGCAATCAATCACACATTGTTATCTTCATTCTTTATTTTGATTATTTATTTGTATTTGTGTAATTTATTTTGAATGGCCTATCAATGGGAGTCACTCATCAAAATGTCAGAGGTCTATACTGTCATATTATTAATGTCAACTTTATTTCATAAGCTTTAGTGAA